CTGAGCTGAAGGAAATCTGTCCCATCAATTAAAGTAACAAAATAAACAGAAGGCTGCCTATAAGCAAAGCCATCTCCTCCCACTCACTCCTCAGCAGCCATGGTGAAGGGAGCATAGATGGGTTTTGCAGAATGCCTAGAAGGTTAGCAAAGACTCCCCTGGAAGAGCTAAGAGAAATGAATTCCAAATCTGAGGAAAACCTTGTTAGAAACTCCTTCCTGACCAATGTAATCATCTCATCCAACAGAGCAGAGAGGGACCACAGAGAGTAGTGATTTGTTGGATGTCCAGGTGAAGACTGGTGATTGAGATAACTATAAACTAGAATATTCAAACCTTTGCACAGATTTCTTTCTGGGACAGTAGAGGAATAAATAAACCAAGTACTTAATAGTTTTAGATACATGATCTCCAAATGACCACCTAAGTTTACTATCAGCAAAATGGAGATAAATCCCTTACAAGAATAAAACTTCTTCAAGAACATTAAAAAGGAAAACTAATACTTTAAAAGTGCCATTTTCCTATTAGTTAATGGATTTATCTCACCAGTGGGCTAATTTCTAGAAAAGAAAAGAAGAGTTGCAATATCCAGTAGTCGAGATCATAATTCTCAAATCCAAAATAACACAGAAAAGCATCAGTTTCAAGATAGACAAGAAACAGTTGCTATGAGACCATTATTAATATGACAACATGCAGACCAAACACCTACATTGGTGAGAAATGACATTTAGATAAAAGTCCATCCCGATTCTTTTTGTGCTTACAACCATTAGATCAAACAAAATTTTGTTTGCACAAGCACTTGTAAAAACAAAAAGTGTCACTGTAAGAAAGGGTAGAATCCTGGAGAAACCACACTTGCTTCCTAAACCTCTGCAACATTCAGTTCATTTCTCTTTACTCCATCATACACGCAGAGCGATCACCAGCGAAGACCACATGGAGCAAGATCATTTGATTTTAGTTGCATCCAGATTATAAAAAAAAAAAAAGGGCAGTAAGTGTTCAGGGTTCAGAGAGAGATCTTGGGAAATGACTAATTCACAGTCTTACTATATAATGTGCCCCAGTTGAATTAAATTATATATATTTTTTAGCTGGTTACGTCACTCACCAAAAAATAAAATGGGAAAATTCCTTTATCACACTACTTTCCAGCTATGTATTTGAAGTAAATTGGATGATTTTGGATTAGCTTCAAGATTTTCTGAAGCACCAGCTACGTGGTGATGTATTATCTGAGGTTACACACACTTTGCAGTGTCCCCAGACATCAAGCCCACACATATACATTTCTCTATTCCGTGTAGGTATGCTGAGGGGGAACTGAAAGCTGCACATGGCTGAATATAGTACTTCTGGGTCTAAGGCAGGGATAAAATTAGTGTTGCAAAACCTCAAGTCCAGTCCAAAGCAAGCCTGACCATATCGTAGACACACACCTATTACCACTACATTTTGTACCATATTCGAGTGCTGTGGCATCCTAGGAGATGAAAGAGGTTAGAGATAGTACGAAGCAGCCAGTATCAAAGAAAACTGTGCAGATCTGTAGAATCTATGATAGCCTCAAAAAACAAAAATTTCAGGATAGGTTTAAAGTTCAGTGCATGGTACTTTCAATAGGACATAAAGGTATGAACATAGATTATAACCAATAATTTCAGGCAATGAGGTAAATCTAGATCTTCAACTCCGCTTCTTTTCACTCCCTTCACCCTCTCCTTTACCCTTCCTTCTGCCCAGTCTCCAGACTATGAGACTGAGGTAGAAGCAATCACGTTCCAGTCAGATCTCTGGATTTTCAGAAATGGCTTATTTTGGACACTGATAGCTTACAGATGCTAAAAATGTTCAACAGGAATCTCATTGAAAAAGAAATCTAAGCATTCTCCCCATTGAAATTCACACCTCTTAGCCATCTCATTCACACACACACACAAAAAAAAAAAAAAAAGAGAGAGAGAGAGTGAGAGAAAGAGAGATAATAAAGAAACATTGGTAAGGGGATAAATAAGAAATGCCCAGAATGGCAGAGCACAGGCCATTGCTGGGAGAGTCAAAGAAAATACTTATACTGCAGTAAATATTCAACTGCAAGACAGTAAAGAGAGTATAATGATTTCTGAGCTTGCTTAGGTGCCCACAGCAATCTAAACACCATCAGAGCATAGCTCAGCGTGGACTAATTGACTGTGTTTCTCAGCAAGACTGATACTGGTACTCAAACAAAGCTTGGTATGTCTACACATTCTGCAGTCATTCCTGTGATGGCTATACTTAAAATAAACAAGGAATAAGGACCAGCATTATTTAGGCCATGAAGGTGAGAACAAAACTATTTTTTTTCAAAATTGACATGAATTGCTCTGGTATGGAGTACCCAAATTTCTGTGCATATCTATACTGCACAACGGCACTGTCACATCTAGAGACTCAAGAGTGTCTGAGCTGCTGACAGCTACACAATGTGAAGAAGTGCTCTGCAGAGATACTATACTGGATCCTAAAAGAAGTGTAGTTATAGAGGTATGATATCATGCATAGGCTTGTGCAGCATCAACAGAAAGATCTCTGCAGAATACTGCACCATATAGCATTTTCTAAAGGATTGCGGAAAGGACACAACACAGCCCCACTTCAAAAAGCATTAATCAGTTGGAAAGGTAGGGCAGCAGTCTGCCTTCATGCTGCTTTTGATAACTTTGTATATATTAAATATGTTTTTCTTTTTTGATCATTTCAAGTGTGACTCCTTGAAGCCTAGCTGGAAAGGAGACCACTGCTTAAAGCGCTGGGCACCCTTGGTTGTTTCATGGCTTGCAGAAAATGAAAAGTCAGTATGAGGAAGAAGAAGTCAAGGCAATTAGACCTCGTGATATGCCAGTGGATCACAGAGAAAAGGAAAAAAAAAAGTCATGAGTAATCTAACTGGTCAAAGAAGAGACTTTTTCAGTCCCTGATTTTTTAGATAATACAGAATTTACACAGTGCAAGAAAAATGTTTCATTGACACAGAAAACACTAGCTATGGAGGTTGGCAAGGGAAGGACCTTCTTTCTCTTCAGCTTATAATTCCTTATCCTGTAGAGCTTTCTCATACCTCAGCCTCTTTGCCCAGAACTAGCCAGAGCTCTTACCCACTTCTATATGCGAGAATAGGACTTAAAACAGTGATGAAAGCACAGTAATAACATTAGCAGTGCCAACAAGCATCTTTTGCAGTCACTGACGACTGGGAGCTGTGGGAGAACTGCAGGGCTGTGTGGGGGAGACGTGCAGTTTGAACATCACAGGATTCCTATCACACTACTAGTGGCCACAGTCTTTAGGATCACCGAGACCTCACTACTCCAAGTTAGCACTACACTGACATGAGCATGAAAAGCAAAAAAAAGGTCTCTGCTTCACAGGCACATTAGCATCGCCCAAATCCCATGCTAAAGGTTTACCACCCTTCTATGCCAAGTGTCAGATACCTGTTCAAGCAGAGATATACAGATTTAATGTTGGCAAAGTAAGTAACAGAGATGTTGCATTTGCACCCAAGCATTGATGATAAATCACCCTTCTTGTCCAGTGGATGAGATGGTTCGGTGCTAGGTCATCTTTCCACTCCACTGCATGACTATCACATTAGCTACCTTTTCTCATACCTACTCATCATCTCCAGATAGTACTAAACTATCCACATGTTTTTAGACTATAACAGGGCTACTCACACATATCTGCCCTGCTTTCTTGTCCACCAGTCCCTGTGACTGCCTAGTAGAGATTACAGCGAGGGGTCATAGATTGCGAACTAATCCATCACATTTGCACTATGCTATGATTCACCATGGCAAACTAACAGAGATAACACACTCCGTGCAGCAATCTCTTTTACCAGGTGTTACCTGGATTCTTCTTACCCTACCACAAAGGCACCACTTGCCCAAGCACTTCTGTATGTATATGGCCAGATTCTCTGGCCAGTTGCAGAGATTACCTTCCCCAGATTCCCATTTTCAGTTGTCAAAGTTGTTGACAACACCAGAACTCCAACTGGGGCTGAGAAGTCAGGGTGCTCATCTAGAGGTTGTTGCCTCACAGGCATCCTCGGTTACCTTGAAGAGGTGTCTTAGCAACGTTTCCCCAAAAGATGATAGTTTTTTCCCTATTTATTTTTGTCTTTTGCTACCTAGAAAAAAATCAGTCTCGATCGAGATGCCCATATTTCCTGCATATGGAACAGAAGACAGAATCGAACTCAAAACAGCCAGAATATTGAGTTAAATTACAATGGCCAACAAAGCACCAATGAGCAAGGTGATAGCATAAGTCCTCCTCTTTGTGGAGATTTGGATTAAGGTACCAAATGGCTTTAAATGCTTCCAAGGTAGAGCAGAAGCTGTAGACCCTAAATTCTTTTGCAGCTTTTGCTGACCACGCCTCTCTTTATTTCTCTTACTCCTGTAAAGCAAGGCAAATGGACAAAAGGAGGATATTCAGGTACTTCTAAAACAGGTGCCGTAAAAATATCCAGAGTGAATTATACAACCATCACCTACCACGAACACCTGTTTAAATATTTCTGATACCTGGAATGGAACCTGGAGCCTTCTAAATTGAAATACAAAAATATCCACTGTTTGTGACAAGAATTCATCTAATAGTTACACACCCCATTTGTACAAATAGACTCCAAGGAGATCAGTATTGTTATACAAGCAAACACTTTGTGCATAGAAGGGCACACCCATCCTTTTGCATCATACATCATGCATCATTGTACATTTGCTTTATGCTGGTTTCCCTCTTCTGTTGATGCTCCTTAAGGGGGTGACAGTACCAGCAATCACCGCATACCAATACAGATCCCACCTCCCCTTGCCCAGGTTCTAGCAAACACAACATGCTCCCCTGAAATGCCAGTGCCCTAGCAGAATTACTCTGGTGGCCAGAGGTCCTGTATGACTTCTCTTTTGTAAAGCTAGCCCAAAGCTTTTCCTTACCTGTTGAGCATGTTGGACTGGTAAATCCTTTTCTCCTGGGTGTTATAACAGCTGCTCTTGGGCTCAGGGATGAAGCTATGTTCAGACAGCATATCAGAAGCAGCCGTGGTGATTATGGCTATTCCATCCCTCACTCTGGCAGGAAGACCATAGTCCCATTCATCATATGAGACAGAGATGAGCCCAGTGGGGAACTCGGATGGCACTGTGTCTGTATCCCCTGCCACCAGGCTGGGCACAATCCATGTATAACCATAGCCTGTCAGACCCACAGAGTTGGCCACCTCAAAAATGTAGGTGGCCTCTTCCTTGGTGCAGTAGAGGAGAATAACAGGGCTTTGGAGCTTCTTGAGCTGGTTCTGGATTTTTGAATCCCCGTCGTCCAGGGACATGTCCAACAGGAGGACCTCCTCCAGTTCCCAACCCACAAAGCTGTGCTCAATGGTACTGCGGATCTTGTTCACAAAGTCCTGGTAACCAGGGAAGTAAGTAGTGACAATGGAAAAGATGTACCAGTCATATTCTTCCATGATATTGAGCATGACAGAGGCTTGCTGTTCTATTGAGGGACCAAACTGGAAGAACATGGATGATTCATCCTAGAATAGAAAGTCAGAGAGAGAAAGAGAAAACAAGAATAGGTCAAAGGAAATAAACAGCATTCCTAGACAGCCCTATTGAGCACGGAGGAGGATGCATTCAGAATCTTGCACTTCACGTCTTGGGCAAAGTGTAAGGATTTTCAACTGTGAAACATTTGGAAAGGAAGTAAATGCTGTTTTATGACCAAGTGTCCTTACTTTATTTTTAAAGACAAGTTGCAAAGATTACGTACATGTCTCAAATGTTAAACATGATTCTAACAGAGAGGGAATAAGCAGTACACAAGACTAGAAAAAAAAAAAGAGAGCATATATAAAATATTCCATGGCTGCAGAAATTAAGTAATTTAATTCAAGAATTATTCTTAATTTTATATGTGGAATAACTATGGTTCAGGGCAGCATTAATTTTCATTTTAGTTTTGGACAGTCACTCTAGTTTGAGTGTCCAGACTACAATAAAACTAGAGTATATAAAATCATTGGATACGGATAGCTCTGAGAACCTCAAATGCATGTTGCTCTCAAAGCAACCTTTGCATACAACTGCTATAAAGATGCAGTTTAAATTTATTTACATTTCCAAAATATTGTTTAAAATCCTCATATATTAAAACATATTACGAATGAAAAAAAATCCTAAACCATCATGGGGTTTGTTTGTGCTGTATTTTAGAGAAATGTTAGTTACATATTTCTCTTGGTATTTCTTTCATATCCTACCTGAGCCACGGTCATGTTTGCATGAATCAAGACTTGCACCTCAGCGATTTCAAAGGAAGTTTTGTATAGAACTTAGCTCCCCAGTGGCATTTTGAAAGCCACTTTCCTCCTGGGATTCCACATGATACCGGACTTTAAGTTTATGACAGGTCCAGTGAAACCGAAATCCCAGCTTTTGCCCAATTCATGTTGTAAAGGCATGGAAAAAGCATTTCCCAATATGCTGTCTTATAGATTGCTCTTCTGCCCTTTAAAAATCAATTGTGAAATTCTGTTGACTTCTGTGGAGCAGGACTAAACCACAAATAATAATAATAAGAAAAATAGGAATGAGATAGTAGCCCTGCCTCCTCTCAATAAACCAGAAGAGCTGAATCAGAGATCCTAAAGAACGTAGACATGGATTGTAGGTTTGAAGAAACTCATTGCACAAATGCCCCAAAACATTGCCTCAAGACATCCAAATTTTAGAACAGCTCTCTACCAGATTCATGCTGCTACAGTCTGGCAGGTAAAGCTGGTTTTTAGGAATGATGCCAGTTAATCAGCCATCCATCCTTTCTTCAGTCATGTATTTGATTAACTATTGCCATTTTCTCTATTGGCAAAATATTTCAAAGCTCAGCAACTCCAGAGAGAAAATCCTGCTCCTGCAGTCAGCATTAAGGTGTTTCTTTCTCTTTCCTGAACTCCCTGTGGGTTACGTCCTAAAGAAGAGTTCTTGTTCCCAGGTCCCTGTGCCTCTCCTGTAAGATCTGATGTTTAAACACTAATTCATTTCCTCCACACAACTCACCACCCACTTGTGAAAGTACTCTTAGGAGTGCTCTTGGCATACTGGAAAAAAAAAATCAATGTGCACGAAGAGAAAAAAAAGGCAAGAAATTGGAGACAAGTCAAAAAAATAGGAACAGCAATTGAGCCTCTCAATCTGTGGAAAACAGCTCATATTTTTTAATCACTGGAATTCATCCCCTTCTCCCAGCCTTATGCTTTGGAAAAGACCCTACTTTTCCAAAAAAAGATAGATTTTATCTTTAAAGCTTATGGAGAAAAAAAAATCTAGAAGTCTTTCTGTGTTTATGCATAAGAATCTCTAATCTGACTGTATTATTTCTACATGGGTTGTAGAAATTCTACAAAAATTGGGGCTGATCTGGCACCTAACATCTTGAAATCTTGCCTGGAGGAAAAAATAAATAAATAAAGTAGTACTTGGTATGGGTCTTTCCTCAGTAAGAAACAGTGGACAAGAGATGGGAAATCTATTAGTATTTCCAAGCTGCATAGCTGCATATGCACAAATGCATACACGCATAAAGAATATACTAAAAGCGGTAGAAAGGTGAGGGACGTACTTGCCCTCCTTGTGATTCTAAACACAGTCAGATATTTCACTTAAAGAGAACACTGACAGCTTGTTCCACATGAGTGCACAACCCAACTGTTGACAGGAATTCATCCCCAAAGACTCAAGTAGAAAATTCAGAGTTCCTCACTAATCGAAGCATATCAGAACACCAAAAATCAACACAGCAAATAGCTTTATCGCAACCCAGTTAAACAATTCCTCTCCACTAGTGACATATGCACCCATCCTTAAATCAGATAGCACAGACCACTTGTCTGTACACATAATAATTGCTCTTGAGTAACTACTTGCATTTTAATTACAGCAGAAGCAAAAAGTGGCAACTTCTGTTCAAAATGAGAATGTTAAGGAGGTTCACACCAATCCAGCTTTTAGCTTGCCAAGTGTTTTTTGGCTTTAAATCACCCCAATACTCAGACTAGCCAAATGCTCTTTGTTCCCTAACCGACTCAGCACACAGAGAAGAGAGGGAGGGGCAAGGGAGGAAGGATGGATAACAGTATGGAAGAAAGTGTCCATCTCACAATAAATAAGGAGAATTGCTGATATTGCTGAGCAGAAATCTCTTAGAATACCTTTTGGGGACAAAAAGAAAACTAAGAAAAAAATCTTGAAAGCTGCAATTTCCTTCATCTCCTCATTTTTGACCAAACTTGATGGAAAGTCAAGGAAAAAGAGAGGAAACTGCAATGACAGAAAAACCCAGGGTTATCAGGCAGAACTTGGATCTGACCTCTCTGTGGTGTTACAGCAAAATTTTTGGACTGGAAAGTAGAACTAATTTTTTACTATTTTTATGCACATATACCCTACAGAATCCTTAGTGTTTTATTATAGTCTAAATCCCAAAGGAGTATTTTGCCCCTCCAGACACTAGTGTTTGTTTTCTCCCAGAAGATTGTAAGAAGTCCCTTTCTCCCTCCCTTCCTCCCCTTTCTCACCTTGGAACAAGAAAAAAGTAGTTCAAATTAGCCATTAGGAGACAGATTTAAGCTTGGGATGGAGATAGGGTGAATTATATTGCATACTCTTACATTACATACCATCCAGTTGAATTGCGTATCACTCAGTCTTCTGACTACATGAAAGAACTTGCCTTTCTCCTACACCCCTTTAATCTGTGAATCAAGGCTTCCCACAGCTAACCACTGCAAGACAGAGCAAGGTGTAGCAGAAGTGTCCCTCACCCAGCCTGTAAGAGCAGAGGCTCCATTAGAAGATCTCAGTACCTCCAAAGATTCTACTACACCCCCACAGTCACCCTGCAAGGTCAAGGATCTGTAGTTTGCAGAGCTGAGCTGGAGGTGGAGCTGATCAATTGACATAGCACCACTTCCCAGCTGACAGATGGCTTCCCACAGAAAATCTGCTCTGAATTTACTGGTGCTGGGAGAAGTACTGCCACCCCCTCCAGCATGCTTAACCTCTGAGATAGGGAAGCTGGATTGAACATGCTAAAGGTGCAGAGGCAGTCACCATGAAGACTTCTCTTGGAGACTGGAGGCTGACAAGTTCCTAGATGGATGCACAAGGGTTTTACAGAGATAGAACAAGATTTAGATCCTTACGAAGTGTACATGCCAGCACTTCTAAGTTGCCCAATGCCTTCTTTTCCTCAAGAGGAGGCCCAGGCAGACACAGCAGGAGTGCCAGGTTTACCCCTCCTGCCTGGAGTGGTGGTGCTGGGGAAGTCCTCCCATGATTCTCTAAGAGAATTCTCCTGCAGCTGTGCCAGTTGGAGCTGATCACTGCTGTTCAGCAAACCATTTACCTCAGATGTAGCCATTGAAGTCCCTAGGGTGCTTTTCTCACAAGTTCCTTCCTAGCAGCCTCTCTGGATTCCCAAGGAAAGCAAAAAGCAATTATTGACTTAGAGACAACATCTTGCTCTCAAGAGCAAAACTACTTGAGTCTTGAGAATGCCCCTAAAGCAGAGGAATGCAGGATCCTGGAAAATGGTAGTGATGGATCCTTTGTCTTGAGGAACCACACAGCCTTCTACTAAGCCGTATTATAACTTCTGACTTCAGAATTGAGGAGATCTGCAGGTTTTCTCCTAAGTTTCTTCTCTACAACCTGTTGAAATGTAATCCGATTCTCTATGTCACTCTCTGGTGGCTGGATCCCAAACAGACTTTTGCAACCCACTGCGTATCATTTTAGTTCTTAGAGAATTCATTCCACCTCTTCAGTCCAAGGTTCAATCCCCCAAAATAGCCAAATGTGACAGTTTATGTGCAAGCAATTTAATTGAGGAGCAATTCAAGAGCATGCTTGCTTCTCAGGTAGAAATCAAGCCATGTTTTTGCAAAATGCCCTCTCTGCACAGGTGCAGGCATCAGCGCATGGAAAGACAATTTGTGTTGCTCCTGTTATAGGAGTAGATCCTTTTCAAATGACTTTTTAGCATATTAGTATTTCTAAACATATCTACTGCTTCATTAAAGTTTCTGTGAAGCCATAGTATATAACAACTGGGGTCTATCCTTCAGTTACTTTTCAGTGTCCCAGTTTGCAAAGGGGCTAATCCTAATGACTTAGGCTGCTATCCTTTTCACAAACTCGAATTCTTTTTCCTAATTAAAAGAAAGGTGCTTGTGTCTTTAGTATAGTCTTGATTTGAAAAGTCCCTCTGTGATCTACAGGAAAATCATATAGGGTTGCTTGCTTAGACTTTAGCCCTGCCTGTCACAGATTTTGTGGGGACAAAAAGGAGTGAGCAAGCAACCAAATAACTTCTGCGTAAACACAGACTTTAATTTCCCTACCTCTGTAATTCTTTTCTTTAAACTGAGACACCACTGTGTACCTATCTGTCAGTCCTTGTGGGATACCTGATTCACAGAGAGTTTTATTGTTCATGATGGAAAATGCCGCAACAGTTCAAAGTCTTATAATTAAG